TAAACTGTGTAATGCTCCTTTACAAGAGCTGTAGGTAGAAGTGTCCAAACAGGTAAGTTCAGGTGGAGTTCACCTGTCCGCTCTGCCCCTGGAAGCTGGGCGCGCTCAGTCAGGACTTCAGCTGTCCATTTTCATGATGTGGATCAGGACAAGAAAGCTCTCAGAGCAGGATTGGAACTCACCTTAGCTCCACTGAAACAGACATGTTTATGTATAAAAGTGATACAGCTTCTTGTTCTTTGGCCAAAAACTGATTTGTTTAGTAGATTAATAATTATACATTACCGCGACACGGTTCCGGATAAGCGAAGGAAAATGGATGGATGGATAATTATACATTATTATTATTATTATTATTATTATTATTATTATTATTATAGGCAGACTCCAGACTGTTGGAGCAGCCACATCACAGAAAGCTATACAGGTCAGACCAAAATGCAATAAAACCAAATAAAATAAAATAATTCAGAGAAAAAAACACCCGCAGACAGTGAACAATAGAGAGGATATTTCTGGGAATGGTAACGCACCACGGATGTAAAGCAGCTTGTCCCCTAACCATAGGGCTGACTGTTTCAATCCCCGGCTTCTCCAGGACTCATGTCAAATTGCCCTTGCACAAGACACTGAAGTCCACGATGATCCTGGTGATATCACAACTGTGTGAAGGTGTGAGCGTTTGTGTGTGTGAATGGGAGGTAGTGTAGAGTGCTTTGAGTGTGTAGAAAAGTGCCGACCCTTTAATGTTATTTGTTTTTAAATTTTAATAAAATATCTTGATATATTTGTTACTTTCATTGATATCTAATTTCACTTTCTATTTCATTTCTAGACTTGTGTCATTTAAAGTTGTACATATACTGTATATCATTCTTTATTTTTCATGGTATTTTTAATTTTAATTCCTTTTTTTTACTGCAGTTCCTGCTTTACTACTTCTGGTTCCTTATAGCTCTCCTGGTTTTCTCTGGTTCCATAGATCCCCAGCAGAGTCTTCTGGCCCCGGTCCAGTCCAGCTTCAGGTTCGGTGCTCTCAGTAGGTCTGCTAAAAATGAATGCTTTTAAAAACCATAAACACTGTCTGAGACAGATTCCTGTTAGCATCTGTCTGACACAGTTTCTGCCAAACTCTGAAAAGTCTCAATTTTACAGAACCTGTGGTTTTTCCAGAGAATTAAACGTACAGCAGAAAATTGCAATACTGTTCATAAAGTGAAGAGCCCTCTGTGTTTGAATTAAACAGGAAGTTTGTGTGAATAAAACAAAGAAACAAACGTCCTCTGAAACCTGCAGCTGAACTCGCATCACTTTTTGTTCCTCAGACACAGATCAGAGATTAGCTGTGGATTTAATCTGAAGTTTCCTTTTGAGAGGAAATCGATCATGTCCTTCTCCTTTCTGGGAAAGGAGCTGTTGCTGTTCCTCAGGAGGAGGAGGAGGAAGCACGAGTGTGAACTGAGAAACTACAGAATGTTTGTCTACAGGTTTTAAAATATTAGAGGTGAAAGTCAAATAGATAAACAAAGACGGGAGGTTTTGAAACACTTTGACCTGAGTGAACCGCTGATTTGAGAGATTATAAGTGAATATAAGATCAAATAGTATTTACTGTTGCAGATTAGTTTCATGAAAACACCAAATAATAAACATAAATAATAAAACAAACTTAAGAAGTAAAATACTGAAAACTCCAATAAAAATATATTTAAAAATAGGAAAAAGTAGTTTAAAAATAAACTCAAAATAAATGAGTGACTAAGTTTCTCAGAACATCTGCTGCTGTTTTTATTTTTGGGGGCTTTTATTTTTTGTTTTCGTCGCCCAGCTGCACTCAAAGGCTGCCACTTACACAGGAAGTGCTCATTTCCAGACAGGAAGTAGTGCAACAGCTCATTCAGCTGCACCAGGAAGAGTTTTTATAAAGTCTTTATTTGACTTCCTGTCTTGTCCTGAGAAAATAAAAGTTCCCACACCTGACACTTCCTGTTACTGTGTGTGTGTGTGTGTGTGTGTGTGGTGCCAGATGTGACAATCAGCTGTTTAACCTTCAGCTGCTCAGAGAGGAGAAGAGGCAGGAAGTTAGTTTTAAAAAGTTTTTTTTTTTACAGTGTACACATCAGTGATATATTTAGTTTGTTGTGAAACAATTTTTTTACAGTGCATATTGCATTTGTTGTGATTAACCAATAAAAACATGAATTAAAAGCAGTTTAATTACATTTCTCCAGCCTGATATTTTAATATTTCATAGTGTAAAAGGTTACCCAGCTCTTGTTTTTGAATAATGATAGAGAAATGGGTTTGATGAATCATTGAGGGAGAGTCAGATATTTTGTGAAGTGAAACATGTTTCTTTGTCTCTCAGACACCAAGAACCGCTTCCCGTCCGATCCCCAAAGCTTCCGTTCACCTAGTACTGTGATTAGCAATTAGTTCTATTTTCCTGAAATAGGACTCAGAGGTAAACACAAGGCTAAACTCCAGGCACAAGTTACATAGCTACATGCATGTGACCAACAATACTTTACAATTTTGGTGACCACTAGCATTGGCGCAGTTTGGACGCAGTCAGGCACAACATGGACCAAAGGTGGAATACATTTGAGTGGGTTGTGCATTATAAGCAGCTGGAGTGAGGACAGGCTTTAGTAATGGCCGATCAATCCAGCTCCTCTCATCCTCTTTAAAAGCACCATGGAAACCTGGCTTTGTCACTGATGTGATATAACATTACCATGTTACTTATTGTGGAAGTATGGCACATAAATATTCCCTTGGTAGTCTGCTAATATGACTGCCCAGCTTTTGTGAATGGAAGACCGACCTACTCTGGTCCTGTAACCAGCAGCCATTACACAATAATATACCCACAGCCGCATCCAGTGTGTGAAATACACCATGATTTATACCTGAAAATCTCAAAATTTAATTTTGGCGGTGGGGGCATTCTAATGTGACTAATTATAACTACACATTGCAGTTTATTTGCATGTAACGTTAGAAATGGATATCTATTGCTGGTAAATACCAAAATACCAGTGCACAAGCAGAGTAGACTTGCACCTATCTAAAACTGTATAAAGACTGAACTTAAAGCTGTGCTGGTTTTGCACTGGCAGGAAAATAGAGTTCATGCAGGGAGTGTTTTATATTTGTTTCAGATGCTCATCAAATAGAAATAGAAATGCACAAAAAATGAAACCTTTTCATTACTGTATTGATGCACAGTGATGTTCTTTTTGTGACACAAAAAGACCAAGTAGAAAGGTACTTAACATGTTATGTCTTCTGATATTTCATGGCACCATAACAACCTGTTGTCTTGTTGCTTTTGTTTTCACTCTCCTCTATCCACTCACCCCAACCTACCTGGCCTTGACTGTCCAACACGTGAACGTTGAACTGATGACATCACTGATGTCAGACAGCTCATCATTCTCCACACAGGGCTGCTGCTGGGTCAGTCAGTAACTTGTCAATAACTTACCAATAACCCATGTTAATATCAGACAACACGTGGGTGTTTATAGAACACATGAAGGAGAACTGGATGTGTATTTAGCTTCTCACTGGAGACAATCTGTGCAACACCTGGAAATATGTTTACCATTATGGAAGAGGTGAAATTTTACAAATCCTCTCCACCAGTACATTACAGTGTGTTTCTGGTGTTATCATTCAGATTAGAGGAAAGACAGTTTACCTATGAGACCTTTATTTAAAGGTCTTGTAAGTCTTTATTTAAAAAGTCATAGTTTCTGGCTTTCGCATGGAGTCAGTTTAGCTGAGAGCTATAGCCAGAGCCATCATTTGTTTTTTGTTTTTTTTGTTTTTCTCCTATATTGGTTCACATGTAGTCACAGTAGCAGTACGAGCATTAAGCAGCTCCTGCATATTTATATTTTACCTTAAGTTTCATATCTAACCTGTAACAGCCAAGCTGTCTTAGTCTTTAATTTTTTGATGTAACCACTCTGAATTTATGAATCTGTTCATTACTTGTAAAATGTGTCCTTAGTATGACCTCACACAGGCTGGAAAACCTGAAATTTATTCAAAAACATGTCTTTCAAAGTAAATGTGACAAACTCTGCTAATCTCCTAAATAACATGAAACAAAATAGTTTGAGAAAATTGAAGAAACACATTTCTATTGTCCTTATTTTCATACTTTAAGCTATAGAAGCTCTGAACAGTCTGCGCTGCCCTCTGCTGGCAGCTCTGCTTTGTTACAGTTCAAACAATTACAAGAATAATTTTTCTGATCAGTTTTTGATCAGCAGCAGGTTACAGGTTGAGAACAGAGAAATGTACTTTTGTTCCTCAACAAACAGTCCAGTCTAACCAGCACCGAGTCCAGTAGTAAACCAGTTCAGTCGTTGGTTTCTGTTATAGTCCTGCTGACGGGGACAAATCAAAGATCATTTCATGGTGAAGTCAAACCATTCTACAAAGTCTACAAGAAGATCATCCTGATCCCCAAACCAGACTACAGCTCTAGACTGGGTACCAGTTCACATAGTCCACAGAGCCCAGTACATTAACAGAAAAAATGTGCTAATGTTATGAAAGCATGCATTAACATGTTATGTTTACATTACACTGCTATATGTTTGTTGTAATGACATAACACTCCGTGTCCAGGTCCAAACCATCAACACAAAGAGAATGAATGAAATGTGAAAAACTGTCACACTCTCACAGGCGCCTCTTCATTGCAAGTCCACCTGAATAACAACATTTCAATGTTTGAAAGGTTCAGAAGAGTCTAGCCAGGCCTTTGTAGCTTAACAGGTTCAGTGATGTTTGCCTTAGCTGAGGTGATGTTAACTGGCAAAAGCCAAACGAATAAAAGGGCTGAGATATAAATCAGTACATAATTTAGTAAATTTATTATAGTTTATCAAATACACCTGATAATAATACAATGTTTAAGAGATATTTTATTAAAATATAAAGCAGTATTTTTGTATTATTTCTATTGTATAATAAAATGATAAATCATTAGAAATAGGCCAAAGTGAAGCAGTAGCAAGACAAACTTAATGTGTAAAATCCAGTTAAAAAATGAAAAATGTCTTTAAATATCAGACTGTAAGAAAGAGAATAGTGTCTTATCAAGAATCAATGTTTTAAAGTTAAGTCTTACATAAAAATGTGGCTTGAAAAACTTTCTAAGTGTAACAGTGGTGATGTCATCATGCTGTGATGTCATCTGCGACGTCATCCTCACAGCGTGGAGAATTGGTTCAGGGCTGCTCTCAGCTTATCAGCAATCTGACCAATCAGAGAGCAGACAGGAGATGACATCAAACAGGGCTGATAACAAAGTAAAAACTAAAATCATGGGGAAAGAAAAAGAGGAGTATGGTGGGAGCAGCTCACTTGTTGGTAGAAGGTCACCTGTCGCTCCAGGTAAAGCTGCATCACCCTGTTGTAGTCATAGATACGGTTGCTATGGAAATGATTCATCTCAGCTGCAGGGAGGAGGAGGAGTCATGTTACAGGATACTTGTGTTTGTATTTATTGTGTAGTACTGTGCAGTACAGTGTGTTGTGCTGTTACCCTGCAGTGAGTAGCTCATGCAGCTGATACGTTGGTTCATGCACTTCCTGTCGTTGTTGTTGATTTTTCCCGCGGAAACCAGACGATCGGCTTCTTTCACTTTCTCTACTGCAGCCTGTACACATACAGGAGAGACCACACCCCTTCGTGACATCATAACACCTTACCTGACTCCCCCCATTACAGTTATTACAGTATCAAATGTCAGGTGGATGAAGGTTTAGAGTGAAAAACTTTCACACAAAAAACTGAGAAAATAATGCAATAAATAAGTGTTTACATTGTAGGTACACAAAAACAAAGTACACAAAAGGAAAGTTTCACTAAAACATTTCTGTTCATAGGTATTTCTTCTACTACAATGTGTATTAGCATTGTGTATAGTATTAGTGCTGCAGTACCTTGTGTACAGCAATGATTTCTGGGAAACATCCCAACAGACTTTTGTACTCGCTGTTAGTCTCCAACAGGAAGTGGAGGTCCTCCTGAGGCTATAGGCCAAAGGTCACAGGAGGTCAGATAAAACCACAGCTGTACAGAATTACCAAAACAACCTCCTGAAGCTTTAAGACACGAATAAAACTAACATATTGTAAAAGTACATTTCTCTTGAACACAAACTCAGAAGGTGTTTAGTTGTTCTTATTTGCTAACTTTCCTCAAAGAGCTGAGAAAATTTCATAGTCTAGATTAAAGTTGTTGTAGCTGATGAGCATGTCGTAATAAATCTGAAATTAACATTAATCTTCTAGGGATCTAAACAAAATACCAACCAAACAAAAAACACTTTAATCTCAGCGCACCCACAGTGAAGACTATAATAATATAGTAAATATTGTGCGTTTACCTGCTGTGCGACAATCTGAGCGATCTCCTCATAGGTTTTTCCAGCAGCGGTCAGGGCTTCTGTTAGTGTCTCCTCCCCTGAAAGACAAATAAAGCTCACAATAAAACTGTGAAGTGCATCAGACAAAGTTAAGTGTGATGATGACGAGGACATCCATAGACATGCTGATGTGTGAGATTTAAGATTCTTGTGTCCTCACCAGGATATTTGCTGCTGTTGAAAACAGTCGACAGGTTTCCGAAGGCTTGACCAATCCGCTTGTACTCCTTAGGCAGTGCTGCACACACATTAATATAAACACAGTATTATACAGCAGTCAGTAATATATGTGATATGTACTATGTACAATGTATAAATGTAAGTGTGTGTGCACGCATGCCTGTGTACATATATATATACACAACATATACTGACGACCAGTGCAGCGTTTCCAGTGTGTGTGTCCAACGTTCAGCAGCTCTCTGACACCATCGTCCATCAGCTTTGTGAACCGGCTGTACTGTTCACACCTCCGTTCACTACACACAAACATACACAGGACACACATACGTTTGGGGGATTTTCTCAACAGATACAGTGAAGTTATTTTTATGTATCTATGGGTTTTGCACACAGAGAGACTGAAATGTGAGTACTGTGTATTTCTGATACACTGTAGTTTGACAGCACACTGTTAGAAATGTGTAGCCTGATGAGATCGTTATGGCATCAGGACCAGTTAACTGAACTTTAGATTTAAAATCAGGAGAATGACCCTTTAAAACACACCTGCAGTTACCAACAGTCACCACAGGGGTCGCCAGACCAACCAGGACTGGACCAAACTGAAATTCTGTATGATACAAACTACACTTGAGTTGTACTGGATACCTGAACTCGCCTGGCCTGACACCACACCTGACACTTGCTGACAGGAATCAGGGGAAAACTACAAATTCTAAATCAAAATATTTTCCCTTATAAATATATAGTAAGGGAGATTAGATTTTTCAGCCCTGAGTACTGTGTCCCTGTAAAGCTGTCCTAACGTGCTCCATCATTCAGAGATTAACGCAGCCCGTATGCTGCCTGGCAAACAAAACTACGGCCAAAGAAAGCTCCAAAATTTCAGTAAGGTCATTTAGTAACTTACACCTCAGCAGCATCAAGCTCTGGACCTTCAGGTTCAACCAGACTGAACATCATCGGTCCCACCATCTCGTCTTTCTCCGCCTTTCTTTTCCCCATTTTCCACTCCTGAAACATTAAAACACTGCCTCAACCAATCAGGGCGGAGCTAGCAATCCTCCTCACAGCTGACTGGTTAAAGCATGCACAGCAGGAGGCAGGGCTTAACAAACCTTTTCGTCTCTGTAGGTGAGGAAGAGCTGGAAGACGTCGCTCTGAGAGACGACCGGGTGGCGACACAGCCGAGACATCCAGGCTTGCAGACGCTCCATCCTGCTCCGGATGAAGTCCTCCTCAAACCTGCCTGAAAGCCCAGGTACAAACTCAGACCCAAAACCAAAGTACTGTGATCTACTGTTATCTACTACAATCACAGTACTACTGATAGTATCTACTCACACCTGCTGTGATAGTTGTGATATGCTGACAATTATGACCTGTTGTAATCTCACATCTACTGTGGTCTGCTTCGCCCAACTGACATCGCCCATAATAGAACGTGGTCTACTGTAACCTCCTGTTGTTTCCTAACGTCAGCTGTGATTCTGTAATTTCTGTTCTACTGTGATCGTCTGAAGACTTGATGTTTCTGGATTACAGGTGAAGATTAAAACATTACCCTTGATCCAATTCCCAGGAGGTTTCTGCTGATAACACAGGTGTTACAGGGTCAAACAACTGTGGTTGTCATGGCAACAGCTCACCTGTGACCTGTTTGTCAGGCAGTGAGGGGATGGGCAGCGCTGAGCCAAACTTCTCCAGAAGACGCTCGTACAGCCAATCAAAGTGTTTGTATCGATGGTTGACAGGTCTGTTGGTCGACTGCAGGAGTACAGTGTATTTCTGTGTATTACTGCATGTCGCTGTGAGTATTACAGTGTGTATTACTGCATAGTGCTGTGACTTTGCTCACATTGGGTGTGAGCTGGTACTCAATGAAGCTCTTCAGTCCGTACAGTTTAGATTCTTTCTTCGGATCGGTGATCACACAGTCCACAGGAGACGATGGGTACAACCAGACTGCACCCACCTCTCCCATCTGATTGGACAATGAACAGGAAACACTCAGAGCGCAGTGATTGGCAGTAAAACGATCAGTAAAGTTAATAACTCACATAGACAGGAAGCCGATCTCTGCTGTTAGTCGGCGGTTTGGCCAACAAGAAAACTTCGGGGTTTGGACCTTTGGAGAACGGAAACCTGAGAACATACAAGAATACTGGGATCTTCTGAATTCTACTGGGATCTACTGACATGTACAGGGATCTGAAGGTATATGTGGGACGTGGTATCATGGATATGTCCACACTGGGATCTCTGGAAAACACAGATCTGCTGAGAATGGTTGGGTATGGGAATGATGGGATCTATCAACATGAAGGTCTCACTGGGATCTCTGGAAAATAAAAACCTCACGGCACATTATACTACTGGGGCCCACTATGACACTAACATTTAGGAAGATCTACACATGGACACATCTACACTGAGATCTGCTGAGAACCTGTCAGATGTGCTGGGATCTACTGTGACCCGCTGACGTCTACATATTTTACTTACTGGGAGCTAGAGACTCGTACTGGGGTTAAATAAACCAAAGCTTTCTTTTGTATTTGGAATTACTATGCTCTACTGATATCTGCTGTAATCCACTGTGATCTACTGACACCTGTAGAGATCTACCAACAGTGTACATACATGCACCCGGAGGAGCCACCATTTTAATTAAGGTGACCTACTGATGACATCACCTGTGATCTATTTAGATCTACTAATATATCTACTGGAATCAGCTGTGAGATCTACTAAGAACATGGTGTAGTTAAAAGTTTGTTTACTTGTTTAGTGAGATCTTCATAGTGGACCCGTGGGCTAGCCGTCCTGAAGCTCCGCCTTCCTCGTCTACCTGATTGCTATCACGATAACCACTCACTGATTGGTCGTCCCAGTTGTCGTCCCACTCATCATCGTCGTCATCATAAGCTGGAGACAGGAAGACATGGTACTCATCAAACAAAATTACAACATAATATTTTGATAGTACCACCCACAGAATCAAATAAAATAAGTGAGATGTTTAATCTTTGTTTTTCAGATTGTTGTTCATGCACTCTGCAACATCTGAAATTAAAAATACAAAAGTTATTAATGCGCTTGTCTGCGGAAAATACTTTGTGTAGTGTGAGCTGTTACCTTGCTGTGTGTTAGTGTGTCCCTGACTATTCTGTCCTTCTGTAGTGTTTCTGGTATAGGATCCGCCCCCTCCCCAGGAGTCCTCGCCCCATTCACCACCACTGACGTTACTGACCTGAAATGCAATGGTGATAAAGTGATGAAGACGGAGGAGGAAGAGGAGGACAAGCTCATATTTAGTACTTTGTGTTATAATGTCCTGTCCAGACCCCGGGTTGTCACACAGGAACTTGGACACTGTTGTTCTGTATTGCTATTGTGCGCATCTTTAAAGATGTTAGTAGTCTCTGTGGTGGTTTTGAGACTATCTGCGGTCTGTATTTCCCTCTGTGGTCTCTGCAGGGGTGCAGAATCTCTCAGTGAGACACAGGAAGAAGTTGGATATTTCTGGGGACGTGATGTGAACTCACCCTGATCACCTGTATATATCCCTCAGGCACGAGCCCAGTTTGTCCACCGGAGTTCTGGGCTGCGATCCACCCTCCACCCACAGTCTGCACACATACACACATAACTGTGACACTACTGTACATGTATGTTTATGGACTGCATGTGAGTGTGTATATGTGCATATTTACAACAGAAAGATGTGTTTGTACCTGGTCAAGCACCGTGACCGTCTCTCCCTCTCTGACCGACAACTCATTGTTTCCTGGTTCAGCTGTGAAGTCATACAGAACCTGAGCCTGTAACAACACAGTACACACAACTACATACTGCAGTACTGGAATTTCTGCTGTCAAGTTTGTCCTGAGAGGAAAGGTTGTGTGTTCAGCAGCATCTAAAGCCTCTGTGTTTTTTGTTCTAAACTGAAATTAAGATTAATACAGCTCCAAGTTTCAGATGGTGTCACAGATGGTCCTCACTGGCAGAGCAGCACGCTGCGTGTGCGGATCCTCATAAGGAGAGTACAGTGCTGTATATTAGGAAAACTACACATCAGCACTGACTTCCTGTTCGACCAGGATTTCTGTGTCAACACCTCTGGGCCTTTCCTCTGAGATATTCCTGTGATACTGTTCTCTCACGTTACACAGATTTTACACTTCACCCCAGACTCCTACAGACATTTTACATGATTTCTCTGCACAGTTTGGAAAATGGCAAATACTTGTACTTTTCAGTTGTTCTTTGAGAGAATACCTAGTATCTGAATTCTTATATTTGAACTTGTCTGCACTAGAAACAAATCATTTTATATAGGAAGATATGACGATAACATCTGGACACAGGTTTTCCTGATAGTAGAAACATAGCTACAATTTGTTTTACGTTTTTCTACATTTCGTATCCAGTAAGATCGTTTTCTACTGCTCCTACCAGACTCCTCTAGAAACATAACAGTTTATGCTGATTTGCAGTGTAAACAGCGTTTCATTAGAAAACCCACAGTATTCCAGCAAACGTTTTCTAATATCTCTAATCATCCAAAATTTCTGTTAATACATGTAGTAGAAAACTTAAGTGCGTCGTTTTTGGCGTTTTCCTTCTTTTGCTAGCCCTGAAATTCCAACCAGACCCCTACAGAGTTTTACATGATTTCTGTACATGTTTCGATGGTTACGAAGCGAGTTTTGGTTAGTACTTGACTATTTCTATTTCATAAGAGAATGTATAATCCTCAAACAGAACTGTTCTAATATCTTTATAATGTTTTGATCACATCTGTTTCCCTTTAAACTTTTAGTTTCCTGGCTTTTTAAATTGACGGTTTTCCCTATGACGTTCCTGCAGGGACCTGCAGCAAGCTGTCCGTTCTGTTTGGTCTGACGACGTAAAGCGGGAACCAGTGAAAGGTCAAAGGTAACCGTGAGGTACAGGTGAGTCTTACCTTCACAGCCATGATGGCGTCAGCTGCAGCAGGTTTTCCCCGTTTAATTTTTGATTAAAGTTTCATCCTGTCACCGAGCAACCTGCCGCAACTTCTACTGGGTCAAACTAGCAACAAACACACAGGGTACTTCCTGTGGACATATCACAATAAAAGCATTAGCACTGAATTAGTTTGTCTATAAAACAGAAAAAATAACAACATATACTACAGTTTCTTAACATAATCTAAAATATAAGTGATTGAATTTCCTATTTGGGTAAAATGATCAAAGACATTTAAGAAAAATGTTACAGATTTATGTAGAAATCATTTTCCAAGTGACGCCTGATAACAGAAGGCACAACATACTGTAAAACATAAAAACAATGTATAAAAAAGTTGACAGTTGATTTTATTTTGAAAATCTTTTTTAAAGTTTGTTTTTAAAATGTACTGGATGATTCCCATCATGTGCAGCTGCATTTGGGCGTTTTTTCCTTCATAATGTTCAAGGATGAAAAGAAATTATGAGTTGATTAAGATATTTACTGAAGACAAGGAACGAATAGTTTCCCTTTTAAAATGTTTTAGCTTTATTTTTACACAGTGTTTACACAGAAAGGAAATGTGAATTAAATTTCATTTCCTATGGTTGATTGTTATTTAGGCATTTGAAATTTCTGTTGAAAATTACAAAATTCTTATTTATTAAAATAAATAGCATATACTGTAATTGTAATTAACACATCTGCTTATGGCAACATTACATTGTTATTAATCATCTATATAGCGATTATAAATCCTAATTTGGACATTAGAGTAAAGTGTTACCAACACATACCAACAGAATATACACTGACAAATACAAAGACATTCACACAATACGTCCACAATAAGACATTTGATCCACATTAAACAACTTAGTATCTTAAAATGTGATTTTAAAAAGTCAATAGTCAGACTTAACATCTCAGAACTCAGATTCTGACTTAATATTGTCATACAGTATTAAGATATTGGTTGGAGAGGTGTATTTCATTCAGGATTTTAAAGTGTGAAGTGTGGCATTTTGGAAATGGAGAGAGAAAGAGATACCCCTGTTGAGAAAAATAAAATATTAGAAGCAAACTGTCCTTTAAATCTTTACTGACACAGAGCAGAACAACAGTATCTCTGTCTCACCCACTCTGTCAACTTCACACAACAGCAGAGAACCATCAAAGAGCAGAAGAAAAGATCTTCCACATGAAACAAAAGCAAAGATTTAAAACTGTAGAATTTAATTGGATGTTTTTTTGTTTTGTTTAGTTTTTTAAACTTCTGTTAACCATCTTACTTCTGCTTTTCTTCAATGAACAGAAGTAGAGGCACAACAACAAGCAACATGCACCAGCTACAATTACTGACAAAACTAGACAGGAAATGTTCCTTGTTTTAAATACTCTGTCAGTGGGACAAAACCAGTTACTCCAAACCACAGATGACGGACTGTACAAGCTTATACATGCTTGAATGCAGACGCAGCCTGGACGACTTCTGCAGGACCAGTTGTCATTCCTCCCATAGATGTTTTATGCTCCAACACCAGGGGGCGCCACAATATCAACAAAGTCAGTACACGGTGTGTCTAAGGATGATGACTGTTGACAGGCTAATTATTAAAGTATTAGAAAGTATCTCATACGAAAGTATGAGATATATTTATATGCAGTAAATAGTGTAGCTTAACTAGCCACTGGTAGCCGCTACACATTTCCAGCACACAATGGTAGTTTCCAGCAATGACCACTGGATACTAGTAGCGGTAACTGGTGGCTACTGTTAGCCAGGAGTGGAGGCCTTGAGCAAGCACTGATCACTAGCAGCTGGTAGCCAGGTAGCCACCTGCTGGTCCAAGTAGGGGTGTTAGGTACCAATAGTAGCCAACACTAGTTATTACGAGTGACAAATATTAATTGTAAGCACCAGTATTTATACACACTAATTACAACTCCTCACCAGTAGTCATAAGACTGAACAAATAATCACTAGTAGTTACCACGTAGCCCCCAGCAGTCACCAGTATGTACAACAGTAAAAAGCAGTCACTACCAGTAATGACTAGTAGCCAGTGGTCTTCAGTAGCCTTACAGCGCGTGGCCACTCCATTTGGCCAATCACATTCTTCTTTAGAAGGAGTGGGTGGCGCCAGGTGGCCAGACAGCACCGCCCGCTCGACCGTGACTGGGAGGCTGCACGAGGCTCTCGCTGCTGATTGGTCCATGGAGAGAAGCGCATGGTGAGTGGGAGGGGCTTAAGTCAGTACGTCCAACCGTCCACAGACAGGGATACTGACTGAATACAAACATATACATTTAGTTTTCTATATATGAAATAAAACTTCAATTTACCTTAAAGTGCATTGGGCGGAGCCTCACCTGGAGTTGTGAGGAGGAGGTTGTGATGAAGAAGCGCTGCTGGTCAGAGGAAGGGAAGAGGAGGAAGAGGAGGAGGCTGAACGAGGACAGGAGCTGCTCCACCCATCTGATAACACCTGAACACCTTCAGACAGACAAACTGAAATCGAACATGTAAATATGCTTTATTTTACATTGATAAACAGTACCCATCATATTACAAAGTTATGCCTGATCGTTGTATATATATATATATATATATATACATACATACTGTTTACATACTTATATTAATACTTAGACACATTATATAAACCTACAAACCTACAAAATTATTTATATATACATTACCACAAATGTATGAATACACACTTGTATATGTACACTGCCCGGGAAAATTAAAAGTTTGACCTGTACAGTTTTATGGACTTTAGTGCAACACTTCCACCTTAACATTTGTGTCTATGAAGCTCAAAATGTTTCAGTTGTTGGTGAAATGTATAAATTCAATTATATGTTTATTATTGAGGCCATAGTTAAAGGCAGTACTGGACTACATTATATTCAGAGGTGTTCCTTACATTCTGACCGTCTCATGTTTGTAGCTGGGGAGGACAAAAATATAGAGACACCTCTAAAGCATTTATGACAGTTTCACCAAAAACTGAAACATTTTGTGCCTCATAAACATAGATGTTAAGGTGGAAGTGTTGCACTGACGTGCACACAATTATACAGGTGTGGCTTTTAATTTGTATATAAGTGTATATAAAGGTAATTACAATGTTAAAAATTATTATAAAATGTTGTAATTTTTGTCCTTCATAACTTAAAAAACATCCCAACCCTTTCCAGTTTATATACATTGTATTTCTTTAACATTACATACAGTATGTTAGGTACTGTAGGCCTTTACAAAAAAACATAAAACGGTATTTGGTGCCTCCTCTAACACATGCACACACAGTTACCTGAGGAGTGTGAGCGGTGTGGCAGGTAGGCGGTGGGGTAAGGTGTGTGTCGCCCTGGGTAACCATGGTGTTTGTAACCATGGTGATGATGTGAAGCCAGCGGGAGGCTGCTGCTGTACGGGAAAGCTCCGCCTCCTCCAGGTGAGCACAGCGACCAACCTGACACACACATTAGACATATACATTAGCAAGAAAAAAGTCACGGCACAGTTTGCAGTTTCCTGCATAAACTAGTCATAAAATGTGAACTGATCTTCACCAAAGTCACAAATATCAACAAACACAACATTTCTAAGCTGATAAAACACAGACAGTCCTGATCTTTCATGTCTTTGTTGAACGCACTCATTAAACATACACAGTGATGGTGGACAAAGTCACAGTGTTTTAACAGTGTTGAACCACCTTTGGCAGCAACAACCTCCAGTCAGTGCTTCCTGTAGCTGTGGATCAGACCTGCACAATGTCAGGAGGAGTTTAGGACCATTCTTCCTGACAGAGCTGCTTCAGCTCAGAGAGATTCTCAGGACGTCTGGTGTGAACGTCTTGAGGTCGTTTCATGGACGTCTGGTGTGAACGTCTTGAGGTCGTTCCACAGCATCTCTGTTTGGCTTAGATGAAGGTGGATGAGGAAAGACAAAGTGATCTGGTATCTTCCAGCTTCAGATTGACTGAACACACCTGATCCAGGTAATCAGCAGTGGGCAGAGCAGGGATAGTTGGAAAACAAGTAGGGCAGCACCACTTGAGGACCAGGACTGGCCACCCCTGGTTTATTGGGTGTGTTCAATAAAGATATGACAGATCAGGACTGTTTGTGTTTTATTAGCTTAGAAATATTGTTTGTTGATATTTGTGACTTTGGTGAAGATCAGATCACAAATAAGGAAAACCAGGAAACTGCAGACAATGCCGTGGCTTTTTCTTGCGACTCTATATGAAAATTTGCAACAAGAAACACATGAATGAGAAGGAATTTGTTTCTTTTTAAAGATTCTAAACATAAATATATTTACAGATCAATTATGCAGTGTATGTGTATATATATCTTTCCTACTGTAAATCTAAAATATATACAAATAATACACTCAATATACTATAGTATTTGCATTCATGGATTAATAAATACATTCATATGGTGTGCATAATTCTAATTAATACAACCTGAATATAAACATAAACAAAATGGAAACTATAATAATTTTTCATTTCAACTCTGTACCAGCTAAAAATACTAGTGATGCATTTAATACCAAGTAAACACTATAATGTACATATGTGGATACAGAGGAAGTAAAATGTTTTGAAATGATTAATGTTAAATATGAAAAGAAAATTTGATTTTTCCAAACGTATGTTTTCAGAGACACAAGGAGGAACCAAATTAATATAAACTGTGAAAAAGTCATGTTTATATTTCTGTCACACAGCTGCTTTAAGGTGGATAAAATCTGTCCTCATGCAGCTCAAACTCCACAGCTTTTGTTTTTTCTCTTTTTGACTCACAGGGTTGAATCCCCACATGACTCTCCAAGGATTCCGGTAAACCCCGTCCCCCCGGGTTCCTGAGGAGGATAGATCAAATGCCATCAGAGAGCAACCTACGTGATGTGTGTGGTTTCTGCATCTGTCTCACTTGACACCGTCTCTCCAAACGAGTGAGACGGCGGAGCGCTGAGCGGCTGGTAATGATGCTCTAATCACCTGCTAATGCTAACTTCCTGTGGTGTCCTGGAGAGAAATGCTAAGCGTTAAGTGTCTGCTGACTGACACCTGGCTGCTTTACACCCTCGTGCACCCAGCTGTGGTGGAAGTAGTACTCAGATCCTGAAGTAAAAGCACCAAGAGTGTAAAAATACTCCTAGTCCAGACTACAGGCTGCAGACCTCCCTGTTTGTTCTGTGCGCTGGTTCCCAAAAAGACAAAATGTGCTCATGTCACTGGAGCTCAAACCACTGATGTTGAATGGAAATGTAACTGACACTGATCTACAAATACTGAGAGAAGGACAAACACAGTGACTCTTTGTCTAGGACTTGTTGACAGTTTTAACCATAGAGAATAATATCAGATTGTGCTGGTGGACGTCAGAGTAAAATCTGGTTTTAAAATCTTTTTTTTTTCTGATGGATATTTGTCATGTGGGAGCAGAGGTGCTGCAGCTCAGTTTTACCTCTCCTTGGCGTCGAGGAAAGCTTTAGCAAACGGGTTGTATCTAATCTTCAGAGCCGTGATCTGCACAGAAAAACATCCAAACTCTGGTTAGTATGAAGTGTGACAGAGCTGACAAACTGTATGATTTTCAACACTTTATTTTACTAACACTCAGCCTGGGCACATGCTTGTGTATTTCTATCAGCACCTATTTATCATGTCACAGTTCTTTTGACTCTTGTTAAATGCTTTGTCTTTTCTGTAAAATTACGTGTGAGTAGCTTTCTTCCTTTATGGATTTAAAGACCTTTTTCAGACCTAAGCCTGAAAGCATGGCCCTTTAATTTTAATGATAAAAAACAGTGATACATTGCTTTATCACCATGTCATTTGATTCAAATTTGACCACAGGTATACGGGTAACAGTGGCCTAACTCTGTAAGCCGGACTATAACTGGAGAACATGACATTCAGTGTGAAACACAAACTTTGACCTTTAATCTTTTACTCAGTGATTTCATTTATCAAATAATTAAATTCAAGCAACTGCTGATAATGAGAAGAACACGCTCTAACTGGTACTTTGTGTACCTCTTCATTCTGGTAGGCAGTGACAGCGATGAACTGAGTTTCTTTGAAGGACACGTTGGAAACCAGACGATGACGAGAGCCGACGCACACGATGTGAAGCTGAGGCTCGTACTTATGAAGAGAGTTCAACATGATCTGAAGACACAGTGACAAAGACATGAGCAAACAAACGTTTATACCTATCTGTATCCACCTGTACCTGTCCATAGTACACACTTTGTAGTGGTCTGTACTTGTTTGTAACCATCTGGTTTTTACCCATCTGTACAAAACTGACCCCACCTACAGCTGCTGCACTAGTGTGTACTGATTGTACCCACTGATGTGACAAACCCACCTGCAGTTTGTACACCTCTTTACCTGTACATACTTATTTGTTCTACTAGTTGACTGATATGGGTTTTGCGTTGTTTGATGCCAATGTATAATGCAGATATCATGTAGTTTTTTTTCTTTTTGCATCAGAAAAAATACAACAATTTAATGAGACAAATCAAAATTTACTTAACATTAATAAATTATGAAAACAGTTCAAGCATTTGAAAATAAAAAAATGTCCACTGTGTTTGCTGCACTCCCCTTATCATTTTAAATTTAAAAACGTCCACAAGTCCACAAGTAATCAGAAAACTAAACTCAGTAAATGAAGAAAACAAACACCGATGAGGCTGCCTGCACATTTTTTGTTAATCAGTCTCATGAGTAAGGCCCCCAGCCAATGCAGATTATCTAAAAATGCCGGATATCGGCCCAATTCATCAGCCGAGGACAAAAATATAGGAACACCTCTACATATAATGTAGTCCAGTACAACACCACCTTTAACTATGACCTCAATAATAAACATAGAATTGAATTTACACGTGTGACAATTTCACCAATAACAAACATTTTGAGTGTTGCACTGAAGTCCATACAATTGTACCTAATAAAGTGGCCCGTGGGTGTATAACAGCCCATTTTCAGCTGTAGCCATCTGCACCTGTTTGTAACCCTGTGTACCTGAGTATACACGTATACATGCACTGTACACTAGTCTGTACCCTTCTGCAGTAGCTGAACTCAGGTCAGAAAGTTTGAAAAGTCCAATCAGTACTTTTGAGTCATTTAAACAAACAAACAAACAAAATGACTGCAGTGTCTGTTTGTGGCAAAGTTCATGGAGAGCAGCCATCTTTGTGTTTTGGCCCAAACACTCTTTTATCCATCTGTCTTTTCTTTCTGGTCCATCTTCCCATCAGCCCCTCCAGCCCCTCTGTTCCCCCCTCGCTAACGAGGCCCAATTAACCAATCCGAGCTCCCCAGGCGGACACACAAAACAAACTGTTTTCTATTCAGATTGAGAGGCTGGCTTCACATGTGACCCCGCGCTCTGTGTGTGTGTATGTTTACCCTGACAGTGCCCACATTAGCTGGAGTGTGTGTGGGCTCATTTTGAATATAGTTTACCTCTCCCTCTCTCTCGTCCATCTGAAGCATGATGGGTAAATTAATTTCCCAGTAAAAAACATAATTACCATAATGTACAAATAAGCTGAGCAATTATTTCATTATGGCCGAGCTCTCTGTTCCAACTCTGCATTACTGCCCAGTGTGTGTGTCATATTTGGACAGGAATAATGGGGTAAATATAAACAACATTATTGCCAATTTTGTAGTGCTGCACATGTGTGTGTGTGTGTGTGTGTAGAGGCCTCTCTGAGTGGCGAGCGGCTCTCGACAGGAAGTGCATTAAACTGCTGCCGGCCAATTAAGAGCTGTTTATCCCGTTCCCGTGGTTACGAGGGGGTGAGCAGGTGAAGTGAGCGAGGAGAGGGACTGAAGTGGCTAATTAGAGTCTGTAGTCTCTCGCCCACTCCAATACAATACAGGGGAGGAGAGAGAGAAAGAAAGGGAGGGAGGAAAGAGGGAAAGACAAAGAGACGCTCTTGACATGGAGAGCAGGATAATGGAGAGAAGAAGGAGATGAGGAAGAGGAGGAGAAGAAGAGGAAGAGGGGAAGCAGAGGATTAAGAAAAAAAGGAGGAAGGAGAGGAGAAAAGGAGGGAGAGGAGGAAGCAGAGAAAAATGACAACAAATAATAAAGAATAAGGAGTGGAAAACAAGAGGGGAGGGATGAAGGAAAAGAAAAGAAAGGAAAGACAGAGAACGAGATAGTGGACATAAGAAGAAGGAAAAAGAAGAAGTGTCACGAAGAGAAGTAGAGGATGAAGAAAACAGGAGAAAAGGAGCGAAAGAAAAAGTCTAAAAGAAGCAGAGGAAAAACAAGATGAAGAAAAAATGATCAAGAATTAGAAGTAAAATCAGAGGATGAAGAAGAAGAGAGAGCACAAGATGGAAAGAAATCCAGAGGGCAGAATGAAAAGAAATGAGAGAAACAACAAGGAACGAATAAAGAAATGAAGTAACAACTGAACAAAGGAGTGAAAAGTAAAAAGCATTAAAGTAGAAATAGAAGATAAAGAACTAAACTAAAAGGACCAAAAGAAAAAAGACAAGAAAAAAGAAAACATTTCAATTCACTTCAGCTTTTGGTTTTTAATAAATTTGCAAAAATTTTCACTTTCCCAGAAACGAGAACCTTTATCCATTTAAAATTAAATCTACGATGCAGTAACAAGCAGAAAGTGAAGGGATGTGGAAACGTTCAGATTCACTCTCAAACCCTGTATTCAAACATTTTCTCCTAAGAGGTGCTGTTTGAATCTCTTCAGTAAATCAGTTGTTTGGACCTGTCCACCGCTAAAGACTTAAACCTCATCTCCAGGTCACGATTTCATCTATTTAGATTCATCAATAAATCATTTCTGTGACGTTTCAGGAATTTGCTGGTTGCAGCTTCTAAAACAAGATGACACGCTGCCTCACCTGGGCAGCTGTCAAACTGTTTACAAACTAATGGATGAATTCAGACTCCACAGTCTGGATGTGAAATCACACCTAAAATCTACTTTTCTGTAGAAGAAATACATAATTTAAAACAAACCAGGTGTCAGTGAAAACCGGGAACCATCAGAGGATCGAGCCAATGGAGATCACTGGGTGATGCCTCACATCAGGATTTAATAAAAGTACTAGAGATGAAAAGCCTGAAGAGCAGGTGAGATGTGGTTGTACCTGTCCTCCTCCGTTGACCTTGTTGGTGAGTTTGACCTTGTTGAAGGTCACAGCCGCCTTCATCCAGTGGGCTCCGAAGTTTGGTGAGTCAGGGTGAATGTAGATGCCGCCCCGGCCCTCTCCGCGGGTCTCCGCCCGCCCAGCTGCCACCCACTCCCCGTTCACAAACTTCCAGCGGCAGGCGGCCGGCACAAAGTCCAGCAGGAAGGAGTACATGGAGCTGGGGTCCAGGCCGGAAACGCTGACCTTAAGGACCGGGAACATCCGGCTACAACACACACAACAGTCTCAGGTTTTTATATGACTGGGTAAAGTCTGAACAATGTCAACTGATAATTCACATCTGTGGCAGCTGGTTTTCTGTCCACAGAGACTAGCAACACAGTACTCAGGGCCTTTACCGCAGTAAAAGTACCAGTACCACTCTGTTATCAGTAAAAGTCCTGGATTCAAACTGTTACTTAGGTAAAAGCGCAAAAGTATTACCATCATAATACACTTGAAGTACCGGTACTCATCCTGCAGAACGGCCCATGTCACATTAATGACTCTGATACGGGATCATAGTGACTGATCCATTACTGTGTTCATCACTTTAATGCTGCAGCTGGTAAAGGTGGAGCTGATGGTAACTACCTTATATACTTATACTGTGAAGTACTTTACATCCTGCTGGGTAGCTGGTGGATTTCCCACCAGGATCAATAGAGTCTGATGATTCTACTGTGTTTAGTTTGATTCATCTGATTCTGAAAAGGAACTAAAGTTATCAGATACATGTAGTGCAGTAAAAAGTACAAGGTTTGTCTCCGACAGTTAGTGGAGTCATAGCATGAAGTAGCAGGAAATACTCAGGTAAAGTACAAGTACTTTCCACCCCCGAGTTAAGATATGGTATGAACATGCATCCACCAACAGCACTTACTAGAAAGCAGTAAGTTTTCATGCTCTTAAAGCTGCATTCACAGCAGCAGCTGCTCTCCAGCAATAACAGCAGTTGAAGTGGCGTTCTGCAGGTGTAAATGGAGTGTGTTCTCACCGCAGGGCGTGACTGGTCAACATGCCTCAGCTCAGCCAAAATAAAACACACAAACACACACCGAGGCAACGTTTACGGCTGCTATCGACACTAATGAATAACCCCTGTTAATAGGATCACTGATCTGGAGTCAGCTTCGCACACATAGTGACAGCAAAGCCAGAACACAGACAGAAACAAATGGGCTCCTAAAAACCCTGTGCCAATAATCAGCATTAGAAGCAGATCTGTAGAAAATCTGTTGTCAGCGTCAAAATCATTTTACTGAGCTCCTGAATCCAAGCTGGACAAGCCAGCAGCCAAACTCTGTACAACTGAATGAGGATTTAATTTGTCACTTAATTCTCCGCACCGTCAGATTGAATTATTGTTTCAAAGTAAAACCACAGGCTGTTGTGGAAATCTCAATCATTGTTCCTCAGCTGCTTTTTTAAAAAAGGCTTGAAGACATGTTGACCTTTGTGTGTCTGCACATCCACGTCAACAGCTACATGACTCATGTTTTCATGGTGCTGTTGAGTCTTGTCAACTCAGAGCACTTGGTGAAGTTTCAGAAAATGTTGTCATCATGTTTAACTGTCACTGACTTTCTCCATCTGTCGGGCACTTTAACCATGTGTTTCAGTAGCAGGATATGGGGTTGTCATCCTGATCACTCTGACCATCTCTATGGGACAGAAAAACAGTGTTAGTGGCTCTAAATCAGACAGAAAACCCCCGCCCGCCGACAGCTGACAGGAGACTCCTGACTGACTGAGTGGAAATCCAGACAGCAGGGTGGTTGATCAATCAGCTGATCATCATCCTGATGATCTGATTGATCTGTTTATCCCCAGAATGTCAGACACTGGGAAAAAGTCCCACTGACTCTCCAGAGCCAAAGATGGTGTCTTCACGTCTTGTTGTGTCCGACCAACAGATCCACAGAGACTCAGCTGATTCTCATGTCTGACAAAGAAAAGCATCAGCTCCTCACATTAAA